GGCCATGAATTATAAGGTAAACATGGAGATACTCGTAACCATACTGATTGACACTAGAGTACTCGACGCCCTGCAAGCATCGGATTAAATATGACATTTGCCACCCCTTGGCTTGGTAGGCCGTGGATTGTAGCTAGCAGTCAGGGTACGGGAGTGTAAGTCCCGTATAGATCTATACACACAATGCCCGCTCTCCCTACAGGAGACTATGGTTACCAACTCGACGATGGGGAGATCCGTGTCTTGAAGATGCATCTCGTATTCTGAGTACTAATAGAGGCGCTGGAGAAATGACATAGACTCGCGTATGAACTGACTCCTGTGGAATTATCGTACTAGAAAGAGTGAATATAACCTCCTAACTATTCCTATAATAGTTACTAGTGTCTATGATCTACGAGTGATGAATGGAAAGATGCCCTTGCTACTCAAGGCGATGTAATGGTCGAGAGCGAGCGAGCGAGAGAAAGAGAGAGAGAGAGAGAGAGAGAGAGAGAGAGAGAGAGATCTTTTATGTCCATTTATATATACATGATATATAACTAATGTTTAAATGACCTTCGGACGGATATCCGAAACCCATCAAACCACATCCTAACGAGGAAAAGGTAATAGGGCGAACTAGCCTTCCTAAGTCTTTTAAACATTATTTATATAACTATACAAATATAGGCATGCATTTAACAAAGTAAAAGCATAGAGGAAAACTTTAATGAAAACCTTGGAAAAACCTTTACAAATAAGAAATTTACGACTTAAAGTCAGTTTGTAAAACAAGTTTGGAAACCGTTCAAAAACACGTTTATAATTTGATAACACAATATAAGTAAAGAAAACCTTTGTCGAAAACACTGCTGTAACTGGTTTAGAGGTAAAACAAATAGCACGAGAGATAATTTGAGAAAAGATTTAAACAAGTAAAAATGTTTTGGAAAGCCATCTACAATATTATACTTGGTAAAACAACTGAAAGTGTGATAAATCCTTGTGCATGCGGGTTATTAATCACATATGATTGATATGATAACTTACATGTTTTAACTTGTATTCCCCCCCATAAAAGCATATAAAAAACATTTAAAAGGTTAATTCAGGGGTACGAACTCACCTGGTGTAAGTGGATCGGATGAAGGTGCTGGTTGGGTGCTCGGTGTCAAATAAAGACTTGAACACACTTAGTGACCTATTAACATATGATGACATATGTTTACATATAATTAGTAAATATAATACTAATTAAACACGTATACGCATCCTAAAGTGCGGAAAAGACTTTGGTTAAGTGCTAGGAGTGTCCCGGGTAACATCTAAGGGAGTGTATGGCCTAGATAGGGAGTTTACTCTTCAAGAGTAAACTCTTTATAGAGTTTATGGCCCTAAGACCAACTCCCCATGAGTTTACAGCTGTAAACTCATGGTGGGTGTGTTCTAGGATGCTAAATGGTCTTATCTCACTCATAGAATTAGGCTATGTCCAAATATAAGGCATATGAATGGGTTTAAGGCAACAAATGGACCATTTAAGGAGTTCACGGCCCTAAACAAGGAGTTTATGGCCGTAAACTCTCACTTGGTCATTTCCTTCATAGATCTAAGCCTTAAACGATAGAGTATAAAGTTCTAAGCATTATTCCAAGTCAAATGGGGGTGTTAGGGCATCATTTGGCCACCTTTTGGGAGTTTACGGCCCAAGGACCAATCCTAGGGGGGTTTACGACCATAAACTCCTATGTACTATGATTCTTTGATGTTTAATGCCTTTACTTCAATGGTGGTTGGTTCTAGACATTTTCCAAGGCCATAAGAGGTGTTTGAGGGCATTTCTAACACCTTAAAAGGTGTTCACCGCCCTTGAAGAGGGTTTTATGGTCCAAGAGTATTCTTGGGCCGTAAACTCATGTTTACTCTCCAAAATGCAAGGTTTTGGTGTTCTAAGCTCGAAGGTGTAAGTCCACAAGTCATATCTAAGCCCTAGGGGTAGTTCAGAGGGGTTTTGGGGGCTTCAAAACCCCACTTATGGGTGTTCACGGTCCAAGAGTGTTCTTGGGTCGTAAACAAATGAATTTTGAACCTATTTGATGTCTTAAACACGAATTTGCATGTTATTTAAGCTACACAACAAGTTAGGATAGATTACTTACTAGTTTGGGGCTCGGAATGGGCGTTTTTGGATCGAAAACAAGTTGTAAAGAGAGAGTGTAGAGAGAGAGAGAGAGAGAGAGAGAGAGTGAAAAGAGTGTGAATGGAGTCCACTCCCCCTTATATAGGGGTTTGAGTTGGGGCTTAGTGGGAATCTACCCGATACTGACGTTAAACGGGGCTTTTGGTCGCACCCGATTAAATGGTCGTATTTTGACTTGGTTTAAACTAAAACTTTTCATGGGATTAATGAGGGTGTTTCTAATTTGATTTAACCCTTACTAAGTCATTATAAAAATCCCAAATTAATTAACCAATCCAAAAGGTTAATGGACAGTTTAATAAAACGAGGCTTATTAACGGAAGGAGGGGTTAAAATGACGGAATAAATTTCGGGTTGTCACATCATCCCCCCGTTAGAGGGAATTTGGTCCCGAAATTCAGGTTTAGGCAAGGAAGTGGCATAGATAATCAGGTAGAGGTATGATGGCACTTCATATTCGATTGGTCCTTGCACTCCCAAGTGAACTCTGGCCTTTGCTTGTCATTCTAACAAACCTTCACTTACGGGATGCGGATTCCGTCTCGTGCAGTTAGCGATTCCTACAGGTTCGTCTTATGAAGTTAGGGTTCCCAAT